TTTCTATTTTGGGGATTTAAGTGAAATTTGGATGACGTTTCATTTATAGAGAAATTTAAACATACATAGTTACACATGCATGTATAACGTCTATCTGGGGTCATGCAACATAATTTTGCTTTATATTAAAATTGATCAATCCTCCTGGGAGCTAAAACTCCTCCTATTTTTCTTCTCCTCGTTTCCCAAGACACCACACAAAATAATCCTGCTCTGTTCCTGGAGACGGAGGAGGTCAGGCAGAGCATCAGTCAACTCAACCTTCAGGTGAGCTACAGCCCCTTAGCCAAAATTAAAATTGATAGCACCGAGGATAATGTAGCCCTGAGTGTGAATTCTCACAGATCCAGAGCAGTTTGCTCAGTGCTCTCCTTCTTATTATCATACATTCTGTCTTTGGTAGTGACTGAATATGAAACACAGGGGGAATTATTAAGAAACAAAATCCATCTTATTTTATGTTGCATGTAAAAAGCAAAAATTATAGAATCACAAGCTTCACTTTTTTTGTCACACAGATACATTTCTAGCATCTCATCTACTATCGGCCTGCTTGGTGTATGTAAAGGAAAAATATAAAGTGAGATGAAGCGGACTTGATGCCGGCCTATACCTCAGTCTCCCCCTGCTCTCTTAATCTGAATGTAAATAGAGCGAAAGCAGGTGCAGCAGGAGTATCCAGATGGGTGCTGTCTGAAGTCAATATTAATTAATCAGCAGGGCACTTCTGCAATGCAGAGGATGGCTGGTAGTGCTGACTCTGCAATTTAAAAGATAGTTGACAACCTCTCTCTACTTGTGGCCCTTTTGGCCCCCATCTGCATTTTGTACATCCTTAGCTTTCTGTCTGCTTTATTCTCTGCTAGGGTCACTTACCTGCTATTCTTCCTTGATTTCACAAGTGCATTAGAAGACATCTCTTCAAGAGGGGATTTCAACTTTTTTACAGTCCTCGGAAGGTCATCAGAAAGTTATAGCTGGACATCAGCCCGAGAGTAAACTTTAAAGAGAGAAGCTGATTAATTCATTAATTAAGCAGCGATAGAACCTTATCATTTGTTACCTTAATGTTTACCTTGAAAATTTACCTACATTGAATATGTTGGAAGTCTTTAAATGTCACATGTAAACTGTAAGTGCTCTCTACACAGATGGGCACGTTAAACCAGGAAGTCTCTGAGCTCACCAAGAGCCTTCACCACATGATGCACATCCTCCAGGCTCACGTATCTTTTCATCACTACAATGCCTCTTTCCCCTCCCATCCGTGTGGTGTCCAAATGGCGTCCAACTCTCCCAGAGCCTCCAACAGCGGCATGCCTTTTAGTCATAGTTCAACCTTCCACCTCCATAACGTTCCCGGGAGCCACTATTCCCACCAAAGTGCCCCAGCCGCTGGCCACTGGAGCTGCAGTGGAACTGCTGAAACCCCAACAGAGAGCCACCAGCGGCCTCAGTCCTGTAGTCCGCCTGCTAACCACTGTCCAACACTCTCTCCAAAATCTTCTCCTAAATCTGTCCCGTGTCATAGCTCTGAGAGCATGACTGCACATCTGTGGACCAGCCCATCACTTCTTAGCATCAGCCCAGGCTTCCATGGAGGAAGTCCAGGCCTTCCACCTCATGCTGGACATGAAGACAACAGACCCCTCGGTGCTAGCTCAACTACCATCAGTAAGTCCCAGCCCACTTTGTGCCTGCAGCCTCCCAGTGATAATGATGAATACTCTTGCCTTTTGTCCAGTGTCCCTACAGGAATGTCCACACATAGCCTGCTGGACACATCACCCAGTCATTATGCCAACCTTAATCCTTTAAAAGCCTCAAATGAGGCCATGTGTGTCCTGATGTCCACCCCGCCATCTCATCCTCTGATCCAGGATACCTCAGTCTTCCAAATTAAGGATTCAAACTCCTCTCTCCACCCTGTCTCTTCCTCTCCACCCTCATTACCATGCCAGCCTTTTGGGAGTTCTGTGGATTCAGGATCATTACAATCTGATGTTATTGAGCCCCATCTCCCACTAGGTGACCCATCTGCGGTGGAGCACACCAGTCTGGAATGCCTACTGGGAAACACAGGCTCTTTGGAAAGCAGGGACAGTGGAAGTGCATCTTCACGAAGGTCCAGCATCGGCGTTCAGACTCAGAGCACAGAGCAGTCGTGGTGCCTGGACCTCACGGATTAATATTTCCACATCTCAGCAGCAGACTGGAACAAAGCAGAACCCAACACGAAATTTCTAACATGCAACTTCTTCATGCAACAGTGTTTTCTGAGACTCTGGCAGAGACTGTCGATGTGTGCTCTGTTTCCCCACCTTTTACTTCCCATGCTCCCTTATTACTCAAACTCCACGCAATTTACACTATTTCTATGCAAAAGCATGTATTTTGTGCTTCATTTTGGCTTTACTGAAGTGTGTCTAAAAAAGAAAAAAGCTCACGACAGTGGGTTCCAGTATATATATTGTATATTTTTTCCAACATCTTCAGAACAACTTGCAGTTGATAATACCTGTTACCTCCTTGCATGGTAAAGTAATTTATTCTTTTTCCTACGGAAAAGGTTTCCAAATTAATGTGTAAGCATTCTACATGACAACCAGTTGATTGTGTACACAGGCGCTGTATCTATGTGCAGACAGGTGAGGATGATTTGCTGTTTTAAGAATACAGAGGAACAAAAATGAAACATGCCTCACTTTGCATGTAGAAAGTAGAGTATGTGCATCACACGGCGTAGATTGTTTATTGTTTTTAATTGAATGTCTTTCTCAGTTCAGCCTTCTGGGTTGTTTTGTGAATATTTGGACAATAAGTATCTAATATTTAAACTCCACCAACCAGTACACAGCACTTACTTATGATTTCAGTTATAATTATGTTAATATCTCCTTTTAAAGCAGTCTTAAAACGTCAAAATTTCCTATTTTTCCTCACTAAAGCGTTAAATAGAGCAAAACAATGCAAAAGAAAATCTTCCTCAAGCATTTATAATAAACACACCATAGCTGCTCATAATTTAAACATAAATAAAAAGATTTAGCTTCAAAGAAAAAAATAAAGTGGGTCCCATTAAATATTTAAACTGGTCTTAATTTACGAAATAAAAATGCCTCCGAGGGACAAAAAGATGAACTTATGATACTTATAGAATATTCAGAGTATTCAGGAACTTTTGAATGATTTCTCTCTGGCTGACAAAATAAATATGCAGAAAATGTGCAACTGTGTCCTTTGCTGTTGTATCACACTTACCACTGTTTATGCAAATGATATTTCAGAGATAGAAAACATGTCAGAATAACCAGCATACTGTGTGCTATATATGACTGCTTAGTTGCAATAAGCCATCAGCAGTCAGGAGACCGGCATAAGCTTTGGAATTATTTAAGGAGAAAATGCAGTTACCGGTTATTTGTGTCAACGCTTGAGAAAAAAGAAAAAGACAGAAACTGGATTATTTTTCACTGAGGCAAAGCTCAGAATTTTCTTGGATTTGGATTACGATGCTTTGCTGTTATTTGACAGGTTATTTGTGGTTTTCAAATCTCATGGTATTGCTTACATATATCAGTATAAAGACTTTTATATGCCAAGAAAAGTCGTGTTTTTGCGGTTTTTCCTCAAACGTTTCCTGTTTAGTTATTAGGTGATTAGTACTGATGCCTGAAAAAGACCAAAGCTCACAATTATTAGACATCACTGTATTTGTTTAGTTTACTTTATTATTACTCTGGAAATTTGATGATTGTCTTGTCTGATTATTTCTTGATAATTAAGTTAAATTTGCAGCCCCGAGTTTAACAAAATGAGAAACGAGAGGGCTGCAGCAGTTCAGCTTTGAAATAAATGGCTTCATTTTTGATATCTTTGAAGAAAGGATTAAAGAGGAAAAAAATTGTGTCCACAAGTTGAATAAAATTTCAGACGACCACAGAAGAACACAAAGTCAGCACCGTGCTTTCTTAAAAGAAGAGGATTTGCAGCTGCTCTGCGTCTCATTAGGGCCTTTGAAGGCAACGGCGCTGGTTTATCCTCGTCCTTACTCGCCACTCAATCTGATTATATAAGTGAATGTACAATAATTGTGTTTTTCAAAAGAAGCTGTTGATGAAACTTCCCAGACAAGAAAATAAGCAAACAAATGATCTTCTTTGCTGATTGGAACAGAGTAACTCTTCATATCTACATTTTTATGTAAATTTGGTTCATTATTAACTCATTATTTACACTTTCTAACAGAAGCAAAGGTTGTTTAACTGGAAAATCTGTTGGAAAACATCGGAATATGACGCTATTCCTTCAACAGCATATTGTGCATTCCCTGTAAGTTGTGTCAGTGTGTGTTTTCCTAGGACCCACCATGTGGGTGTTCCAGGTGTTCAAGGTAATATTACACTGAGCATGCAAAAGCAATGCAAATATTACACAACAGGTCAGAAGAATTGGTTGATTGCGCTTTATACGTGTCCTCACGTCATGTTGTTACTTTGCGCTGCATATGTTGCTTATACAAACAGAACAATTGGTGTGCAAATATATTTGCACGTTCTCTTGATGAGTCAAGTGGTGTCACGGTGTGTTTTTGCAGCATCACAGTCTCATCTTGATATTTCACTCTGTGTTTGTGCAAAAACCCACATGAAGTTTTGAGTTAATGATACACTAGATTCACATCAATTGCACAACAAGACCAAATAACAGAGGATGAAAACCCAGCTGACACACATTTGAGGAATCACTCAACAGAAGGATCGTTCATCAGGTGGGATGTGTTTGTCTTTCATTGTGTGGATTATGGAGGAGCTTAAAGAGTTTGATCTTCTCACATTTATTCCCTTTTTTCATACAACACTTTATGATTATTTTTCTCAATGAGGCACATTTGGGAGACTCTGCTACTGTTCTATTTACTGTATTTAAATCATTGGCTGTGAAAATGCTTTGCTACAGTGATTAAACCTGATTTGTTTCTTCTTTTTTTTTTGCAGCATCGCAGTCTGATCTTAATCTTTCTCTCTGTGTTTGTGCAAAGATGAAGTTTTGAGTTAATGATACACTGGATTTGCATCAATTTCACAACAAGACCAAATAAAAAAGGAGGAGGATGGAGGATGGAGTTAAGCTGCAGCCCTGTTTAAAAGCTACTTTCTATATCAAACATCTGCCCATGAAACAAGTGAGGCTTGAGAAGCTCTGCAACAGTTCACTTTGAATTAGATATAGTTTTTGGGGTTTTTGGGGTATTTTTAGATTTTAGAGATAAAATTGCAGCTTCCTGAATGCTCTAGTATCAAACCCAGTTGGTTTCTTTGTTTTTTAGGTGAAGCCCTGAAGTGTTACTGTGGAGGTCTGTCGTACTGCCCAAACTCTGTGGAGTTCTGCCATGGCTTTAACAATGTCTGCAGCACTGTCTTCCTTCATGCAAAATCTAGTAAGTCCAAACCCTCATTTGGTTTACTGTGCAGAAAAAAAAAAGAAAAAAATTAAATCAGTTACAACAAATGATTTCATACCACCATGTTTTCCTTGTTTCCACAGCGCCCAGATATTCCAAAGGTTGCATGAAGTCAAATGTCTGCAGGACAGTGACTCGGCCTGGTGTATTATCTATCCATTGCTGCTCAACTGATCTGTGCAACAGATACTAATGCCTGTAAACATGTATACTGTCATGTAGTGTGCATTCTGGTGTTCTCATAATAAAGAGCAGTTTATTTCATCTTTGGTTTTTATATCAGTTCTTATTTGTATTATTTTCTATTCTCTAGAGAATTAATTGGGTTTGTTTTCTTAAATGACAACATCACTTCATTACACTAATGTTTTTGAACTATTAGTTATTTATTGAACACTAACTAGGTTTGTTATGGCCAATTTACAGAGGTGCTCATCATGAAATATGGTTTGTCAGTGGTTTGTTAAAGTAATAATTTCTGATTTTACATACAAAAAGCTGTTATAGGAAACTAACCAAAAAACTGAAACACTGAGGACATTAAAATGTGACTTAAAATTGTCAGTCAGTCAAAAGGTTATGCTTTAGCCAGAAGCAGGAAGCTATATTTAGATTATTATTAATATCCTTTTGTTATTCATTTATTGGGAAAATGCATCAAAGCGTTGTTACATGGGTGTTAGAAAACTGGAAAGACTAAACAAAGAAAATGATCAAAACAGAAATAAACGACACAAACATAAAGAGACTGTTTACAGATGTTTGTATATATATTTTAAAATAAATACATACAAAAAAACCCACTGATATAAAAGATCTGATATTTACAGTGCAACATAATGAGTTGGTATGATGTACTGACCTCAATACTATACCTCATGCACAGTATGTTATATTCCTGAATTGGTCTTATGTGTAAGAAGTATGGTAAAAGTAAGGACACAGGTTATATGTTTGTATTTAATTAGCCAACACTAGAGGATTTCATTTGGTTTCATTACTTGACAGAAATTACATGAGTTAAGTGGGATAGAAATTGCAAAGACCAGACAAGACCAGATGTAAGCTTGTACTTAACGCTCACTATGAACCATAAAAAGGCAGTATACCTAACAGACAACTTACCAAAAAATCAATTTTAAATTGTATCTTTATGCATGTTGTTACCAGCAGCCTGTCACACAAACATAGAATTTGTTCCCATTTCTTTAGTAGAATCTATGAAAAATGCCAAAGTTAATGCAAACTCCCAAAATCCCAAGAGCTATTAGCTGAAAACGTGACATATCTCAGCACGGTGTCCAGTGTGTCCTTAAAATAGAGGGAAATTGGACAAATGGACCGAACAAGTACCAGGCCTAAAAAATATCTATAGCAGGTGAACAGTATCTGAAGATAGAAGTAAGAAAAAATCCAGCAGACCTGACACATACATCTGGCCCTTCAGTTGATCCATCTACTGTTTGCTGAGACCTTGTCAGAAATGGTCCCAGAGGATGGTTGGCTGTCAAAAAGCCTTTCTTATCCAAGGCAAACAGGAAGAACAGGTTGAGGTGTTACATAAGAACTGGACTGAAAATCAACAGATCCAGATGAATCCAAATTACAAATTTTTTGTTCAAATTATCATCACTATACCCAGAGGAGGCCAGGGGAGATGTGTTGTAGTGAGAGTGTCTACAGCAATCTTTAAACCTTTGAAACTCAGTCGAGACTCTGTCATGGTTTGTGGCTGCAATTCAGCCGGTGGTGTTGGGAACAGTATTGTCAGATGTGAATCTATCATGCAGTACTATCTGGAAAACTTCTGGTTGACAATTTTCAGCACGACAATGATCCTAAATCATTTTAACAGAGAAAAGACCAAAAGGCAACCAACATCCAAAGAAGAGCTTTGAATGTCCTTCAAGAAGCCTGGAGAGCTAGACTATTTAAAGAAATTACAAGAACGCTTGCCTAAAAGAGTTCAGAATGTGTTAAAGAATAAAGGTGATCATACCAAATATTGATTTTCAAGCTCGTTAGAATTGTACAAACTCTGTTTTTCCCTTAAATGCTGCATTTGAATTTATCTTTTCAGATGTTTCAATAAATCGCTGCACCAAATTCCAATTTTCCAAGAAAACATAAAGTAATGAGGGGTGACTTGACACTGCTTCTATTTTTCATTTTATATTATGCCAAGACTCAGTAAATAAAAGCTCTGGTGTTTCAGTGACACTAGTCTTTGAGAAGCGGTTTCATGGTGTAATGGTTAGCACTCTGGACTTTGAATCCAGTAATCTGAGTTCAAATCTCAGTGGAACCTGAGAGCAAATTAAACTCTTTGTAAATGCATACTGGATTTCCATATATGTCTGCATTTATTTCACATTTTCCTGACAAAACATTAACAAAGAGAAGTGACTTGAGACTTTTGCACAGCTCTGTATGTATGCTGAGACCTTTTTGGTTTATGCTGATTGTCTTGTTACAAAGACTCCATGGGCTTATTTGGCAGTTTTCAACTTTGCCAAAATCAAAAT